TTATGCAGCTTCTAGATCTAAATGCAAGTGAGGAAAAAACTAAAGTATTTCATACTAATAAATAATGAGAAATACTCCAACTTTTAACTAATAGCAGCTCAAATTCCTTATTAAGCAATCAGGAAGCTACAAAATACAGAATTATACTAAAAGGTACGTGCTGAATGTTAAAAATTTGGAAAAAAGCAAATGAAAATTCAATATTTACCAGCTTAACTCCAACCTCTTCATTAGTCTGAACATTAGTCCCTGAAAATGACAAAATTATAATTTTCCACAAATGAAAAACAAAACAAAAAAATTAATTACAAAGAGCAAAATTGAAGAATGTGTATACCGAGGTAGATCTCACCAAAGGAGCCGCTACCGATTTTCCGGCCCAAACGAAACTTATTACCAACACGAGGCTCCATTAATTAGAGGCTCGATGATTAATTAGGAAAATAATTAAAGGATACAACCCAATTATAAATAGAAAACTTTCAATCCACAAAAATGGATCCAAAGAAGAAAAAAGATATTATTAGGTTTATCTTATGAAAGAAATGAATGGATATAATATGATTTAATATTTGCAGATTTCAGCTTTTTGTCTTGTTGTTCCCTCGGAGGTCATGGCATTGGAGCAGCAGAAGAATCATCTTTTAATCTTTTCCATTACTGCTTCAGCTTTGCTTTTGATCCAATTTGAATTCATCTCTCTCTCTCTCTCTCTCTCTATTCTTCTTCTTCCTACTGCATTTTACGTTTTCCCTTTTTTTTCGCGGGTATTGAATTAAGACCCAACTCCGTTATTCCATTTTTAACCTGACTTTTGTCAATTAATTTTGCCTTAATATATAATTTACAGTTTATAATTGAAAAGTAGCTACGTTCAAAAATGAAAGGAAAAAATTTCAGCATATTGTGTTGGAGTTCGAAATTTTTACATATAAGATTCTAGTGTAATATGCTGAAATTTTATGATGCGTTGGAGTTCTAATATAATATGCTAGGAGTTTTGTCACGATCCAAATTTCTCACCGTCGGGACCGTGATGACGCCTAACATTGTACTCGCTAGGCAAGCCAACGTTACAGAATATTTCACCTTTTTCCTTTATATTTTAACAATAGAAACTTAACAAAAGTAAATCAGCAAAAATAATTGCGGAAGAACACAGTTTAAAAGATTATCTTTATACTAATAACAAAACCGTAATAAATTCCACCCATAATGGGTGTCACAACTCACGGACAGTCTACGAATACTACAAATGATGATATGAACAAAAAGTTTACATCTGTCTCGGAAGTAGATAAAACATAAATGAAATAGGATAGAAGGGGACGCCAGGGCCTGCGGACGCCTGCGGGACTACCTTGGGTCTCCGGGAAGCAGAGATAGCAACCAAACTCACGATCAGCCACTAGCTCCAAAATCTGCACAAAAAGTGCAGAGTGTAGTATCAGTACAACTGACCCCATGTACTGGTAAGTGCCGAGCCTAACCTCGACTAAGTAGTGACGAGACTACGGCGGGGCATACAACATATACAACCTGCAACAGTTTATACTAAACATAAAGGAAATACAGAATGTAATAAAGCAATAAGTGGCATTAAATAAATTCGGAACCCAGTTGTTCTACTAATATTCATCTATAACCAATCCTTAAGGGTGTTTCAACATCACAGTAATGGATCTCAACAGATATGAATACATAACAACAACTGATGTGGCGCGCATCCCGATCCCATTATATAAACAAAAACAGTATCAATATTCACCCTTATTCCTCCTTGTTGCGGCGTGCAACCCGATCCCACTTGTCCACCATTATTACTCCTCAACACATATCACCCTTATTCCTCCTGTTGCGGCACGCAACCCGATCCCACCCGTCCACCCTTATTACTTCTTGTTGCGGCGTGCAACCCGATCCCACTAGACAATTACATTTCACCCTTATTCCTCCTGTTGCAGCGTGCAACCCGATCCATATATATATATATATATATATATATATATATATATATATATATATATATATATATATATATATATATATATA